AATCAAATCAAATCAAATCAAATCAAATCAAATCAAATCAAATCAAATCAAATCAAATCATTATTACAGTAAAAAACCAGCATAAGGAAGGTGGGGTACGGTCAATTAGAAAGCATAGAAAATACAAGAGAGTCTAAAAAAAATAGTATAAAAAGCTAACAGATATAAAACAAAGTATATATCTAAAAAGAATCTAAAAGGAGGGCATTAGATGGGTGTAGGGAAGCATAAAGGTAGTATATGACAGAGTATATCTATCAAATTGCAGAGCACTCTAGTATGACAAGCTGTCATTAAGACTAGTTTATGCCACGGGATGAACTTTAATCACTGCTGCGCAGACCCTGGCAACATTATATGTTGTAGCAGGGTTGGTATCTCAAAGCAGCAGGGAGGTGTAGAATTGTCCTGCGCGCCCTGGGTATTTATGCAATAATGGTGAGAAATCACATGCAAGTGGAAGAACTCAGTCCAACTATCTCTCACTAGGTAGAGCTGTAATGCTGTAATGCCTCTGGTGCTGATCTGGAAACCCAGAACATCTGCTTAGCACAGGAACTTGGATTGTAGTAGGGACTTTTCAGCAACAGCCCCCCCCCAGTAGAGATTGTCTTTCCCTGAAAGACTCACCCAGTGTTGCTGGATACCAGGCTAAAACTCAAAACATTTTACTGTCATGTTATGTTTTCCATACAACTTTTAAATATTGTTTTATAATTGCTTTTATTTAGAGGTTTATTAAATGGCTGTTAGATTTATATGCCACCTTTCCAGATATTTAATGTGCCTTCCATGGGGATCTCCCTTCATTTTATCCCCGCAACAACTGCTTGTGAGGTAGGCTAGACTGACAGCAATTGGCTGAGAGTGACCCAGTAAGCTTTTGAAGGAATCTGGTTGCACTTTTTCAGATTAACACATTTTATTAAATTAATGAGCTTTTGCCTTTTTGAGGAACCCTGGTTTAACGAGAAAGATACCCAATTCTCACAGTTCCCAACAATTTCAGCCGGGAAAACACTCGCCAATTGAGCAAAGGAAAGATACCTCTCTAATTTTGCGCTTCTTCCCAAACATTATTTTACGGTAGAGATATTTCTCCCGTTTCTTCATCATCATGATGGCCAAACGCTTTTCCTCACTCTGCTGCTCCTGCATCAGCCGCTGCTTGTCCTCCTTCACAACTTGGCCCGGTGTCACCTTCACTGGGAGACTCTGAGAAAGGAGCAGGTCGTGCACTCAAAAACTGGTTTCCGTTAAACGAAGCAGATACCAAAACATTCGGGAAACCTCCCAAAGCCCACGGCAGAAGGCCTGGTTTCAATATAAAAATTTTGGCTGGTTATCCCTGAGATTGGCATCAATTCTTGTACACCGAGCAGATGTCATAAAGAATCGCAAAGTACCGGTGAGTAAGACATTTTCAGGATCTCAACAGGCTGTGAGAACCACTTGTGTTTTTTGCAAAAGGTGTTATTGCTCATTTCTTTAAAAATACCACAGCCAGCCCCAACCTGTAACCCTTTTACTATGACTGGGTTCAATCAATATCCTACCACTTTCTGGCTTCATGCACACCATATCAGGTATCTTCCAAGCTTCTTTTATTATACCTTGCTCTGAGATCTCTGAGCTTCCATCTTCCGCAGTTTCCCTTCATCTTCTTTGTCAGAATCCTCCTCCGAGCCTTCAGTTGCATCTTCCTCCTCTTCACCACTCTCCTCTTCCTCTCCTGACTCACTATCTTCCGCTAGAGAAAGGCCCAAATCGTGTTATAGTTGATGAGCACCCGAGGGCACCCTCAGCCCCCACTGAATGCAACGGGCTTGCCACTAGCCCAGGGAGCCCCTGGATACCTGGTTCTTCACCCCTCTGCAAGGCCAAAAGCTTCAGCTTCTCTGGTGGAATGTAGTCTCCCTCTTTCTCAGAGACAAACGGGGAGAGATGAGGAGGCAGCATCACCCCGGGAAAGTAATCAGCCACTGGAAGGCACATCTTGGCATTGGCCGAGTCGAAGACCCACTGCGGCTGGAGGTAGTATCTGGGGAGAAAGGAAAGCCAATGAGAAATTGATATTTTAGAACGTAAGCTGTACTAGAGCAAATTTTACAGATGATACTGCGCTCCATTCGTAACCCTCCAGGTCTTCCCATTAGCCAAGAAGGTAATGAAGAGGAACAAGATGGAGAAGTTCCCCAGGACCTTCTGACTTGGCAGCACTAACAGCAGGGCTCTCTAAAATTCAACGGCCATGCTTTGCCTACCGAAGAGCAGCCCTCACCTTCCAACCACTTGCTTCTCCACATTTGGGCGGTCAACAATCTGGTGGGTGATGTTTGGATCCGTAACATCGTAGGTAGCACCAATGCAAACCGACTTATCCCATGATACTTTGCCCCCAAAGCACCTGGTGAAGGAGAAGCGGGGTTGAGCCAGATCTAGTGACACGTTTTAGGATTCAAATTCACATTATGTTACAATTTAAAAGCGAATTTTTATGAAATGATGTACCGTTGGTATATGATACCAGAAAAACTTTCTAGAATGTATAAAGGTACTTCAAAACTACGCTGGAAATGTGGAAAACATGAAGGATCATTTTGTCATGCTTGGTGGACTAGTAAAAAAGTTAGAAAATTTTGGGTTCAAATACGCAAGGTGATACGAAGAATTTTAAAGATTAACATTCAACTGAAACCAGAACTTTTCTTGTGGGGACTAATAGACAGACAACAAGAAAAGAGTTATGATAGATCATTTTTGTACACGGTAACTACAGCAAGATTATTATTTGCACGAAGATGGAAAGACTGAAATACCCACAATGGAGGAATGGTTGGTGAAGATGACAGAATTTGCAGAAGTGGCAAAACTGACTTGTCTGATTGATGGAAAAGGCAAAAACTACATTTGTCTGTGACTGGAAACCCTTTATGGACTTTTTGCTGAAAATGGAAAAAAA